CCCGTGGGCCCGTTTGTCTTACCTTAGCTAGGCTGTCCCTGGCAACGGCCCTTCTCAGGTATGGCAGGGAGAGTGGATGTGAAGCGTAGTGTCGTAAGCTGCATCGATCATCACTCGACTCGGACCACCGAAGCCTTCCAACGGCAGTGCCCACGCCTTGACGCCGCGTCAAGTAGCAGAATTGCAGCCTATGCTCCAACCCTGACGGGGTTGGACCATTTAAATTTAGTGCAATGCCGGTCTGGTGGGCACAGGTCGCCCAAGACCGCTTGGGCGACCTGTGCCCACCAATCCACCGCCAGGCCTCTGCGGTAGTGAGAGCCTTGCTCGCCCCAAAACGCGGGCGGCAACTGTGCCACCACACGAACGATGACCCATTGATGCCGGGCTAGCGAAGAGAACCGAGCAGGAGGATACTTCGATTGCGGGTGCACGCAGGAGCTCGTCAACGTTCTCTGACAAACCGTTCTTGACTTTTGATGCCTCCGCTTCAGGAGTGTCTGGAACGTCAAGCCCTTTGAGCAGCCACAACCCTGGTCATGTCATTTCCCACAGCAGACAGCGCTTATCCATCCCTTTGCGGTGGAAACTGATCTGAAGCGGCCACACGCCAACGCCAACCTGCAAGATTGAGCCGACATGAGACCCGACGGCAAAACATTGCAGCAGAACTCTCTGCTGAAAGCGAATGCGCCTCTGACAGAATCTCGACCAAGATAACAGCAGCGGCTCTTTGCTCGATCTGCATGTAGGAGGCAGATGCAGGCATGGTTTGCGTCGGCTAAGACAATCCATCGCTGGGTCCCAGGCTTGACCCACCGTCAGGACATGTAGGGCAGCGGGCCTCTGCAAATCATCAGTGTGATGCACAAAGCAAATCAAAGCAAGCATCAGGGGAGCCCAGACTACCCTACAATGCAATGCAGGTGTCTGCTTTTTCCGTTTCTGGGCAGACAAGTGGTTCGTCGTTCGATGAAAATTGAAGAAACCATTCCGCTCGGGGGGAGGCTTTGTCGCCCCTCGTAT